CTGCTGATGTGACCCTGGGTCAGTCACAAGCTCTGGCACAGCTGTCCTTGAAAAAGAGCAGTCTCTGTCAGAGCTCTCTCAGCCCCACCCACCTCACAGGGTGTCTGTTGTGGAGAGGGGAAGGGAAGGGAAAGGAGTTTGTAAGCCGCTCTGAGACTCCAAGTGAAGGGCGGGGTATAAATCCAATCTCCTCCTCCTCCTCCTTTTGTGGTGGTTGTTGTTCAGTCGCACATTTAAGTATGACTAGTTAAGTTAAGTTAAGTTTAAAAAGAAAAAGGAAGGAAGTGAGAAAACTGATCTGTTGAAATCCCTAAATGTATCCTGGAGGGGAGAGATAAGGGTCGGGGGATTAATGCCATATAGTGCATATTCTCCTAGCCCCTTCCACCTGTTGTTAGTTTTTCAGGGCTCTGATTATTGTGACGTTATTTATTTACATCATTTATACCCTGCCTTTATCCCGAATGGGGACCAAAAGCAGCTGACGTGGCTCTCCTCTCCTCCCTTTTGTCTTCACAACAACACCCCTAATAAAGTGGTTTAGGGTAGGGAGTGTGACTGGCCCAAAGTCACCCAACAAGTTTCCACAGCAGAGTAGGGATTTGAACCTGGATCCTCCAAATCTTACCTTGATGCTCACACCACTATGCTTGACTCCTACTGATGTGGGGATAATTAAGACTGCTCAAAAAAATTTCCCCCTTGATAATTAATTAATGACCAGAAGGCTGTAAAGAAGAAAGCATCATGGGAGCGAGTTCCAAAGACCAGGGATGGGCTGTCGAGAAAGACCCAGCGCCTCCATAATCTGTGAATAGGGTGGAGTTTATCATATCCGAGACTAGGAGGTGAAAAGAGGGGTCCAGGAAGCATACCCAAGCCCAGTTCCCATAATATTGCATAATAAAGAAAGGTAAAAATAACATTCAGGTTGTTCCTGCAATTGCAGCAAACGCTTTTGAGCCACTGTTCTACACAACTAGAGTTTCAGAGCCAGTCTGGTGTAGTGGTTAAGTGCACGGACTCTAATCTGGGAGAACCGGGTTTGATTCCCCACTTCTCCACTTGCACCTGGCTGGATGACCTTGGGCAAGCCACAGTTCTAATAAGAGCTGTTCTTGAAAAAGAGCAGTTTCTGTCAAGAGCTCTCTCAGCCCCACCTACCTTACAGGGTGTCTGTTGTGGGGAGGGGAAGGGAAAGGAGTTTGTAAGCCGCTCTCAGACACCTTTGGGTAGTGAAGGGCGGGGTATAAATCCAATCTCTTCTTCTTCTTCTTCAAAGCTCCCCCGCCCCCCCCGTCCCCGCTGAGCTCTGAAGCAGGAAAAGGCCAACAAGCAGGAGAGGGAAGCAGCAGTTTCAGTCTGGCAATACAGAGTGCAACTGGAGCAAGTGATTTGGCTACCGCATAGATTAGTTTGCTCTGGAGACATCCTTCCTGAGCGAAGACAAAAATGTGTGCACTGGAGGCTAAAAAACTGTGAGCTTGCTCACACTAACTCAGATTAGAGGGAACACTGCCCCCACCCCTATTCTGTATCTGTTCAGCACAAGCTGTATTTTAACCCAGGGGATGTGATGCTTGTAGTGATAGAATTTACAATTTAGAGACACTCCCTTAAGTTTAACAGGGCTAAGGCACTGGCACTTTGAGGGCTTGCCCTAAGATCACATGATCCTCCCTTGTAACAGAGGCTGAGGCTGTTAACACAAGGTGCTGGTTAGTCGCTCTTCACATTTAAGCTGTTTTCAGCCATTTCTCATTCTGGTTGTCTTTATCTGTGGCTCCTGAACTATTACAGCACCACTCACTTCGAGTCAGACCCTTTGAATTCTCACTCCTCCCCTTAAAACACAGGATGGAAAGTGGATATTAAAAAAACAAGAAGTCACTGTTCTGCCTAAAGTAATTACAAGCATGCATAAAATACATGAACACTTTGGTGTGAATGTACAGTAAAAGAAGCTTGGTCTAAAGTGGTGTGCTTGGGGGGGAAACCAGGACCTGTAAAAAATAAAGGTAAAAAAACAAGAGGTACAAAAATGAAGATGAAGTAACAGGGAACACGCATACAATCTATCTACGGCGTACATATGATTTTTCCTTATACCTGCATTGGGTGGTTCTCATGTTACATTCAAAGCATGTACATGTGGATGTAGGACTGAAACTCCGCATGTATCCAAGTTTGTCAGCAGGTATCCGATGGAAGGGAGCACTGACTCTTGAAAGCTTATACCCTGGGGATCTTGTTGGTCTTTAAGGTGCTGGAATCTGGTCTTTAAGGGACTGGAATCTTGCTCTTCTACCGCAGACCAGCATGGCTACCCACCTGAAACTATCTTCATGTGTGTGAACAGCAATTTACGTTCTGGAAGGGGCACATAGAGAAACAGAGGTGTACGCATGTGCGGGTGTTTGTGTATGCGCGCCAGTAGGATCTCTGTCTCTCTCTTCCTTTCTGAGAACCTGATGTGAGATCTGCTCTATGCCTCTAGCAGGCTAGCCCGATCTCATCAGATCACAGAAGCTAAGCAGGATCGGCCCTGGTCAGTAACTGGAAGGGAGACCACCAAAGAATACTAGGGTCGTGACACAGAGGCAAGTAATGGCAAACCACCTCTGAATGTCTCTTGTCACCACAAGTCAGCTGTGACTTGACAGCAGCAAAAAAAAAAAAGGGCAGACACAGAAGCTAAGCAGGATCGGCCCTGGTCAGTAACTGGAAGGGAGACCACCAAAGAATACTAGGGTCGTGATGTGGAGGCAGGCAATGGCAAACCACCTCTGAACGTCTCTTGCCTTGAAAACCCCATGGGATCGCCATAAGTCCACTGTGACTTGACGGCAAAAAAGAATGCTTTGCTTGTACATCATAATAATTCCCTTACGTATTGGCCATTTCCAGCTCTCCCATTGGCTGTGGTCAGCCACTGGCCCATCAACTGCCACTCAAGAGTACTTGCATGCCATTGGTTGGGTCTGCTCCTCTTCCCCACCCACTGCCACTGTTCCCTGTCAGAATAACTGTCAAACAGCTGTTTCTCCTGACAAAGACACTTCTTCTTGGCTCCTGTGGGACTAACTTTTCCCTCAGTGGCTGTTGCTAGGCAACCAAGCTTGATTCTGTCAGTAAAATACAAAGGAAGGAAACCCTTTCCGGGCCTTTGTGAGAAACTCATTGGGGCCAGTCCTGACTAGGGTTGCCAGCTCCAGGTTGGGGAATTCCTGGATATTCTGTGTCTAAAGAAGCCAGTTTGGGGAAGGGAGAGGCCTCAGCTGAATAGAATGCCATAGAGCCCACCCTCTAAAGCAGTTATTTTCTCCAGGGGGAGAGAGATCTGTAGTCTGGAGTTCAGTTGTGATACCCGGCGATCTTCAGGCTCCACC